ATTTTTTAAAACAAAATCATTGAATCTACCAGGCAATCAGAATATGCTGAACATTGTTTGATTTTAATTTCTTTTCCGCTTCTATATTCTTTTTTTTCTAATATTTATTCAACTTCGACTCATTCGTGTATTCATGTCATGACAGTGTTATTACTTGCTTGTTGTTCTTTCTTCTTATCGTTGTTGTTGTTGTTTTCTGTATTTTCTGTTCTCGTTGTTGTAATTCACGATTGTATGCAGATATTTGCATCTTTTTATGCATTTTAAATATTCTAAAATTAACATTAAGACAACAGAACACAATTTCGATTTTAAAATAAAGGCTAAAATTCAAATTCTACTTGTCCTAAACACAGAAAAGATTTTTGTTTCTCTGTTTCTGTGAAATTCTATTTGTACGCGCAGCCGAGTTATTTAGACATGTAGGCAGACAGATGATAATGGTAGACAAATACAAGAATAAATTCTTGTTACTTTGAGTTTTATTAATTTTATTAAATTTACTATACACAATTTTTATATGGTAGTAATATTTTAAATACTAAAAAATTAATAGTTTTATTTCTAGTAAATTATAAGCATAAAATTTATACATTGTTGTTGTGTAATGTATGATATTCACTGTGTAATATTATTGAATGAGTGAGTGACTAAGGTGTGTAAGGCACATGTTACGAAAAATTATACAATGAAAATTTGTGTGATGGTGATTCATGTTTCACACATGTTCTTTTTAAGAGAATATTAATATTATATCACTTCACACGCATGTGTTTAGAACTCATTTTTCACTTTTTTCGTATTATGTTTATAATTTTATTTATTTTTTTTTATGGGAATAAAAGTTAATTTTTATAAAGAAGTCAATTTTCACGCAAGATGAAAAATCGATTTGAAAATGTTATGTTGGATATGACAAATGAGCAATATTCTTTTGAGCTTCTACTTAAAAGTCAAGTTCTTGGTAACATTAAATGATAAAATAAGTCAATAAAAATCATGCATTGAGATTAAAGGAAGTAAACAATAATTTCAATACTAAAAGCTTTGGAAAATTTATAACTCGAGCCTGAAGATTTAACTTAAAAGTTAAAGGAACACAAAATGTAAATTCAAACTATTTTTCAGCTCATTATTTATTCAAACAGGACTCAAGTTTTTCGAAATAAAATTTTTAACGTAAGCAACTTCAAGCGTGTAAGCAATACAGTAAAAGAACTACGATAGAATTTTTATACTTACCACAAGGATATTCTCAAACATTGAGCAATGCTCACTAACAATAAAATATAAAAATACATAAAAATGTTCATATAATGTTCGATATGTGAATATAATGTATTTATTGTGTCACCGAGAACTCTTTGTAAAATACACATGAAAGTGATTGAACAGGAACTCAAAATATCCCGCATCATCACAACACTTTCCCAAAAAAACATCATTTTACTGTATGAGAAACATACAAGGCACAAAAATATTCAGTTAGTGGTGGCCCTGAATCCCATCCATATATAAAATATAACATAACATACGAGCGGATCGTTGCTTATTGTACGTACGAGGGGGACAATACGGCACACACAAATATATATACATATAAATGAAACATACAAAAAAAGCAGAAAAAAATTTGCAGGCAAATGATTTGGATGTGAAGCTAGACCGTGCGCGCAAAGCAGTAGTATGAAAAGCTGATATGTAGTAGAAGAGGAGAAAATAAAATGTAAAACAGAATAGAATGATTTTATTTTTGCTTTAAAATACAAAAAAATTACAATACAATAATACTACGCAGTTGAGACAATCAAAAACCAGAATACAATGTGAGAAAGATGTAATAAGACACTTAGCATTATTTTCTTAAAGTATACATGCTCGTATGAAATATTTAAGCAAAGAAGAAATTGTGTAATCTAAAGCCACAAACAACCATAATCATGTGCAGTCAATAACAAAAACAACAACGAACTCACCTACAGAACGAATGAAAATTTAAAAGACGAAGACAAGTACAGAAAAAGAGAGTATGTTTCTCTACGAAAAATACACATTTCCTTCTTGATTGTGTGTTTTATCGCACATTTTATTAAATTATAACAAAATATTGTGTAATAATCGCAATAATGAAGTATAAAAATTTTATTGTTTGTAAACTTATTAAAATGTATTTTATATGAGTGAATGATAATATAACTTTTTTATTGTTTAAAATTATTAACGTGGTATTGACCAGTTAAATATCTATCTGTTCATTATTGCCAAAAATTTCCCTTTAATTAAGATGTGGAAAGTTCTAAATCTTTTACACGCTGCAATTTGTGTTAATTCTTTAATTTTGCGACGCACACGGGCCCATTGCCACGCTTATAGAATGTCTTGAACGTCTCGAAGACAGCTCTATCCTACAACACCTTCTACCAGTTCGGAAAATTCAGGACTCTAGCGTCCTTTTCAACACAACCAATCAAAGAGTTCTTCGGTCTTCCTCTTATTAATTCTTTAAAGAAAAGCATTATCAGAGGTCCTTTTTTAAAAATTGATGTAGGAACTTAGTGATCTAGTAGTTAAGTATTTGATAATTTTCAAGTCTAACTTAGAATCATAACATGAAATGAGGTTTAAAACAGAATGAAACTTGAAATGGTTGTAATGTGCCTTTTTAAATCTCCAACCTTAAACACTTATTTCTTAGATGATTCTTCTAGTCTTAAAACTTACTGTTTTGTTAAATGAAAAAAAAAACCATTACCTATTCAGACCAATTATGATTCAGAGGAGTGCTAAGGCACTTCGCAGCTAATGAGAGTTTAAGGATTCTTCTAAATACTGCACTCATACCTAGACCTACAGTTTATAGTGGAATCCGAATCACTCGATTTTTGTAAATAATTTTGTAATAAAAATAAACTCTTAACATAAACGTAAATAATTTTTCATAAATGTAAATGTCTGTCGCAATCGTCCTGAATCTTTTCATCGAACATATTCGGGCTGTCATAATAGTATGAAAGACAAAATTGATCGTGACTAGTGCTAGCAGCAAACGCAGAAGCATACGAAATAGTAACATACTTCGTTATCAGGACTACAAATACACAAGCAACTGTATTAAATACAAAAAGGAATTCCCATACAGCGCACTGTGGCAGTGACGTAGCAATGTTGATGTTATTTTTCTTTTTTATAGTATGGGGGTGTGAAATTTTTTCCTCTGCTTGCGAACTTTGTGTGAGTAGCATTTTCCATCCTATTTATTTTTTACTGTGAGAGGAAAAAATGTTGCATATTACCGCATATTTTATGTGTGAAGAAGGAATAAAAAGAGCAACAGGAATTCATTTAAAAACCAAAACGAATGAAAAAAGTAAAATAAAATAAAATTTTCCACAACATGTCTCATGTTTTTGCATGTAAGAAACCTAATCAAAGGAGAATGGCACGAGGCACAAATTCTTCAAAATATATTCAGTAAACAGGATAGCAGAACAAATGAGAGCATTGACGTATAAAGGATATATTTTTGTGTGTTGGGACATACGCAAATGTTTGTGTGTTGAGTGGAAAAAGGCGGTAGGGACAATACATATCGCATGTATGTGTTTATATGCAAAAAATATGTATACATTTGGTACTCATATATCTGTGTCACACATTAAAGGATATGTTTGAAGCATAAATGCAAACATAAAAGGAAGTATGTGAGGAGCTTCATACATGAAAAAATGTTCTATACATCAGTTTCTATTATGATGTACTGTACTTATGGTATGCGTCTACGTAAGTACGAAAAATAAATACAAGTGAGTCAAGTGAAAAAAAGGAATCTTTTGTTGTGTTATGAAGCGAGAAATTTCATACTCCTGAACATTTCCTTTTGCTTGCGAAAAATGGAAGGAAATTTAATACAAACATAGCTTGAGTTTTCCTTAGAGTGACTGTAAAAGGTTTGAGTTCGTAACAGTTTTAATTCTGAAAAATTCAATTATTTTTTAAACGAAGATATTTAATTGTAGAAAAATGCATCACATTTGGATAAGTTCAAATGATATTATATTATGATCCACTTTTTTTCTGTATTGTAATTCTAGAACAAGAATACTGTATTTGATATTTGTGCTCATATATGTATGTTCTCGTGGTTTGTAGATTTACTAAACACTTAGTACTACATTCTGTACATGTATCTACCAATAAAAGTAAACTAAAAATGTGGAAACAACCACCGAAAAAGAAAATTCAACAACAAGAATAGCTGTAAAAAAGCGAAACAGAAGTAAAATTTGCTTCAAATACACTAAATTTTTTTAATAATATACATATGTATGATGTAAGTCACTAGGCTCCCATAAGAAACGGCACGTACATATACACGCGATGGCAAAACGAGACGATGTGACGGGCCTCTGTGTAGAGGTGCGGGATTTTGCTCTCTCTTTGTCTGTGTCTCGGAAGAATTTCATCGAACAGCACAAAAAATGAAAATTTCATCTAAACACATCTATAAACATTATTATACGAAAGGGGATGCGTTTCCCACTATTAAAACACACTCTCATGAACATGACTCTAGTGTTACTATCCAAAGCAAATGTATTTTAATCAGAACTATATAGCATGAAAAATATAAGGAAACCAATCGGGGTGACAACTGCAAAACAAAAAAAAGTTTACAATACTGTTATCAAAATATTCATATAATCCACAGAACTTCCTACCATCGCTGTACATTTTTTCTGTATTAATGAAGTTACTACAACAACTACCAAAGTAAAGACATGCATTCGTAGATGAGGAAAGAAAAAGGAACTTTCAGAAATGAGTATGTAGAACGTCCAAAAAGAAAAAAAAATACGTCACAAGCTACACACAAAGAATTCTTTTTGTCTATTACAGCTGTTGTGCCTTTGTGAGTCATTCACGAGTGTAAAAATATGATACTGTTTTGTAGTTTTGCTCATCGTGAGTATTTTTATCTTTATTTTCATACAAATACACAAGAATTTTCTATATACAAGTAGAGGGCGATTCCATGAGTAAATGGAACTGAAAATTTTTTGTTCAAAAACTTTTTTAGATTTTTCTGCTTAAATATACATATTTCAACATATATTTTCACTTAATAAGACTTATTATTCATCAATTCATGTGTTATTAGCATTCAATAGTCTTAATTATGCAGCATTTTGACAAAAATATGTAATATGTTTTGCAATAATCGGTTGAAAGTTGACCGATTAAGTGGTGTTTTCCCCAATTTTCTCCTTAATTACAGTAGAAAGACATACAAATAAGATATTGTTATAAAGCACAGACGATTTCACGTGTGTTTATCATAGATTTGTAACACAACAATGGATATTCGAAGAAATATTGATGAAAATTTAAAAATCAATTTTTCGTAAAGTTGACCGATTAAGTTTGGTTTTTTTAAAATATCTTTTGTCAGACAGATTTAACTAAAAGATTATGCACTAAAATACATATATACCATAATAACAAATAAAATAAATCTTAAATATGGCGTTAAATGAAGTTAATTAAGGAAATATTTACGAAAAATTGAGTTGAGAAAAAAAAATTCACTCATGGAATCGCCCTAGAGTAGAAAAATATTATTTTTATATAAAACTACGCAGCTTTGAAGAACAGTTTCATTATTATATTGCATTTTACTAAAAGTTTTTAATAAAATTATCTTTGAGCTCATGATTTGAGCTATCCGACTTTTGTGCATAACCGTTTTCAACACCATTCGTGTAATTACGTCTTGTGTTTGGATCATTCCATGGCTGAACTTTTCCATCAGCAGAAATGAAGTAAAATATACCGGTTGATATGAGAATTCCAAAGGCTAGCCAGAAGACAACTCTATTGTTTAAAAAAAAATTAACAATTATAAAGTCATATTTAGGATTAAGGGCTCAATAAATTGTGCAATAAATCAATGCTTACCTCCATTCTAAAATCGTGCTCTAGAGGATAAAATATGAGAAAATCAAAATTAAGTTGTTAAAAAATATTAAGTTATTTCTACAGTTAATACCCATCACATAATTTTATGATAAATTTTTTTTAAAGTTTTTTAAGCCCTATAAGGGCTAAATAAAATCTCTTCGAAAATACATGACACGTTTACCTTGGTTTAATGTGGGTGTTGGACATCTGGCAGAAAGTAATTTCTAGGAATTCCTAGGAATTTACGTAGTTCCTAGGAATTTTTAAGTAGAGGTTTACGTAGGCTCCTAGGGATTCCTAGGAAATACTAGGAATTTTGAAAAATTCTATTGATTCCTAGGAACCTTATTTTAGGAACTAAAAATTATAAATGATTACTATGATTTCCTAGTATATACTAGGATTTCCTAGGATAGCTCATTAAATCTTGGAGGAATTTCCTCAAAATTCCTAAGATTCCTAAGTATATTAAATGAATTCTTCAAGGAATTTCCGGCTGAACTACACTTTAGGGTGGGCCAATATATAATTTTTTATATGAACTAAAATCACTCAAAAAACTTTAAATATAACGTTTTATAAAATTCTTACGTATTCCTTGAAAAATCTTCCTAGGAATTACTTTCTACCAGATGACCATGAGCCGTTTAATGTTTAATTATATGCTGATAATTTGAAAATACTTAAGCTGACTTAAGCTAGCTTAAATAATAAATAAACGGTGTATTCTAAACTATTTAATTCCTAGATGAAACTGATTAATAAACGGAAACGTGTCTTATTATCACTACTGACCTAGATTTTTAGTGCTGACACGATTTGTTTCATTCAAATATTGAGAAAATTAACTGCAACAAAAACTTACATTTGGTGTCAACAAACCAACTGCCATTGGTGCTAAAATTCCCATTATGCTGCCACAAGTGTTGACAATTGCAGTTATTGTAGGTGTGTAATTTGGACTGAGATCCATACTGTTAATTCTACTATTATCTAATCCAGCAAAGCCGGAAGCTAATGAGAAGAAAATCATAGCTTGAAGTCTATCACATCCAGAGTATGAAGCCATTATGAAGCAAATGGCAAGACCAAAAGTTCCTAAAAAAGAGGAAGAAATTAAGAACTCGATAATTTTCAAATGGAATCAATTTTCACATACCCGTTGTGGTAAAGAATCTTCTTGTGTTCCGAACACTTAAAAGCTTTTTATTTATACAGTAATCACTTACAAGTCCAAAACCCATTGCGGTGAAGAAATTCAAAACTTGTGGAAGTGAACTGTACAAACCATTTTTCTCTACATCAAGTCTCATGACATCAGAGAAATATTTAGGCAAATCAGTAGTCATCACATAGAAGGAAAAATCCATTCCAGTTTGGCTGATGATTACCGCCCAAACTGGAAGACTAGTAATAATTGCTTTAAAAGGAGTTGGTGGTAAATTTGTGTCACGTTCAAGAATCCCGATTTCTTTACGTAAATAATTTTTCTCCTCTTCCGTAATAAATTTATTCGATTCAGGATCTTTTGAGCAAAAGAACATCTAAAATAAAAGTCCAGTATTTAAATAATGCATTGAAAATTCTAAATTGTTAATACTACTTACAAATGCAACACACCAGATTAATCCGATGATACTGTAAATGTAGAATGACCAAGCCCAGGAATCAATGTGCTTTAACAATACTCCTGACAAATATGTTGATAAAATAGATCCAAGCTATATATACATACATAAGAAATTTGATTAAAAAAATATAAATAAGTTACGAAAGTAAATGTTTACCTGCATTCCACTAAGAACAAATACTCCAAGTGTTGTTCTTTCTCTTAACGGAATCCAAGCTGCCAATAAACCAAAAACAGCGGCATATATAAATCCCTGACTCAACCCCATGATGACACGGTTGATAATCAAAAATGTTGAACCACCATAAGTAATTGATGCAGGTGTCAAAAAGGTTAAAATACTTGTTGCCGCTATTCCAAATAAGAACGTAATTTTTCCTCCTAATTTTTCGACCAGAATTCCACCAGGAATATGAGTGATGATATATCCCCAATAAAATGATGATAAAATAACTCCTTGAACTGCTTCGCTCCAATCATAAGTTCCTCTTCCACCTAATTCATTATCAATATCGTTAGACAATGTTTCATTATCTGCAGGACACACCTCTCCCATTATTGATTGTGATGTATCATATTGTTTCTGAACAATTTGTGTTATAGCAATGCTAAGCAAATTTCGCATCATATATTCGCAAGTGAATCCAAAAAATGCCATAATGGCAAGATTTATTCGTTGAGGTAGACATATATCTAGACAGTTAAAATATTAAAAATGAATCGTTTGTATGCAAAAATGCGACTGAATAATAAATAATTAAAAAGCAATTTCCTATAATTTAAAGTTTATATTTAATTATTTGGTAGTCCGTCTTCTCAAAATTCAAGGACAGTAACCAAAAATTCTTTTATTTAAATAGATTTCATCAAGTTAATTGCAAAAATTTTCGATCGACTATTGCAGTGGTTCTCAAACTATGCTCCTTAGAGAACTTTTGTTCCGAAAGAGAATGTTAAAAGTTTCAGGAGTAGCAACCAGTTTGGCACATAAAGATTAGCTAATGTCTTACAGTTTCGAGCAAGGAAGTTTGAAAAGCACTGAGCTGTAGAATGCAGTTGAGTTGAGTAGTGAAACTTAAATTACAACTCTTTCAATCAAATAAACATTCTCGAAACTTACACTTAAAAAGTTTACGATAATTTAAAATGCTTTCATTAATATAAATTTAAATCATAATTGAAAAAAAAAATTGTTTATTAATTTTTTTACAACGATTTTCAAATTTCTATCGTTTAACCGCATGGTTTTAAATGTATTTTTAGAAAAAGTGTGTGAGTCGGTGTTTTTTCCTACTTTTATACTCACTTGTCATTTTTGTTTCTTTTTGTATGTATTTGGAATTCAAATCAGACTTTTGGAAGATAAGAGGCAAAATTACAAACAATATCACTCTACTTCAGCGCAAATCTTCCGGAATTTTGATTAAACAATCAATTATTTAATGACTGACACGATTGACAATATGCCTTTTGATAAATTATTAAACTTAGTGGACACATTCACATCACTATCAACTTAAATGCGTTCAACCGAAAAAGAATTTAAGATTAAAAATAAAAACGAGCACGCGAGAGATTGAAAAGATTTTCAAATATTAAAGCTTAATCCTTGGATGATTATTGACTACTGACATGCAACAATTTTTTCAGCCTAGACTAAATTTACTTTTATTCTCACAGTTTCAATTTCATCTCATGTTTGAGAATTTTCATGAGAAAATGTAAATGAGAATAACACTAATAATCAAAGCACATGGCATATACTTAACTCATTATCATTAATTGTATTGGTATTTTACTCTCGCTCATTTTCACGTTTCTCTCAAACAAATTTATGATTAGTTTATAGCTGTTTATAGCTGTAATGCAACTCGATATGATCAGCTGATTACAAGTTTGTGTATCATTATTGGGGTAATAAATGATGTCTCGCTTTGATAACAAGTATACTTGAAAAAATCAGTCGAGAATTAAATTTATATTTTTTCCAAATAAAGTCCAAATAAAGAAAAAATATGTTTTGAAAAATATTCTTAAATAAACTAGACTTTTTCCCCAAAATTATTTTTGACATATAAAATTAGCAGATAAATTTCTGATAAAAAAACGTTTTATACGTCATTTTTTGCTTTACGTGATGAAATCCTTCGTATAAATGATAATGAAGTTGTTTCTAAAAGTTTCACTGCTCAATAACTGATTTTTAAATAAATCTTTCAATTTATGTTACAAATTATGTTGACAAATCTTTTGCATTTATCTTCTTATCTAATAATTTATGTTTCAATTGCACTACTTAGATGCTTTTAAGTATTCCATCTTGAAGTTCCTTAATTTTTTCCAATTTTGTCCAAAATTTAAGCACTCCATATCCCGAAAAAAAATTTGGGCAGGACGGTGGGGCGTTCTCTCATTTTAAAGGTATGAAACTGTAAAAAAAACTTTAAAAATAAATCACCATAACTTTTGGCTGAAGTCCTGAATAAATTTCAAACATGTTTATATCTCGTCACATCAATGTCTTCTAATCCTTTCGTACCATACTTTCATCAACAGTTCATTGAAGCATTGGCAATAGCAAACACGTTGCATTTCAATTGCACTAGAGCTTCTTAGAGATCGAAGCCGATTTTTTCGGCTTAACTCAATTTTTGATTTTTTTGATAGAAAAAAGCCATTTGACACCCATTTCAAGTATTTAAATTGAACTTTACATGCTTTACTATGATTCTGTGTAATATTTTGTCAGCATGTAGCTATAGTGAGCTCAGAATTTCAATTTAGCCGATTTTAAGCCGATCGGCTTAAATTTCGGCTTAACATTCTTTAACTTGAAATTCTGAGCTTCCTATAGCTACACGCTGACAAAATATTACACAGAATCATAGTAAAGCATGTAAAGTTCAATTTAAATACTTGAAATGGGTGCCAAATGGCTTTTTTCTATCAAAAAAATCAAAAATTGAGTTAAGCCGAAAAAATCGGCTTCGATCTCTGCATTATTTTAATCCTTGCAGAATAGCAAAAATGTATACTTTGTTAATATTACTAACGCAGTCCACAATCGTCAGTAAATTTCTTCAGTTTAATAATTCCTAACGGCTTGGTCATCATATCAGCTATATTTACGTAAGTGCTGCAATATTTCAGTTCAATCTCTCCTGAATCAACCAATTGCTTCACATAGTGATATTTAGTATCAATGTGCTTGCTTCTGTTGCTGAATTTCTGATTTGATATCAGTTTCATGCTACTCTGGCTATCTGTATACAGAGTAGTTTTATCTGAAACGACAAACTCAGAAAAAGAATTGGTCAACATTTTAACCCATTTTAGCTCTTTGCAACTTTCTGAGAGTGCGATGTATTCAGCTTCCATTGATGATAACGATACTACGTCTTGTTTTCTGCTGCAACACGACACAACACCTCCATTAATTCCGCAAATAAAACCACTGATAGATCTTCGATCCATCGAACCTTCAGCCCAGCTTGCATCAGAATATACTTCCAATTTCCCAACTTTATTTCTGTCACTCAATTTCAAACTTAGACTCTTTGTTCCATTCAGATAGCAAATAATTCTTCTCGCTTCTATCAAATCGGTATTCGTTGGCTTTGAAATCTTTTGGCTCAATATTCCAACAGATGCAGCAACATCAGGTCTTGTATTTGTGCTAATATACAACAGCTTTCCAATGAGTTTTCCATAATCATTATTTGATTCTAAATAGTTTTCATCATGATGTCTAAAATAGCCTGTCATCAAAGGATATTCTGAAAATTTTCCATCATTAAGTCCAGCTTCTTCCACAATCTTCTCAATGTATTGTTTCTGACTTATATGAAAATTTCCATCTTCATCACGTTTCACATCAATTCCCAAAAAATGCTTTATACTTCCCATATCTTTTACTTCGAACTGTCTTCCAATATGATTTTTAAAACTTTCTATCAATTTTTCATTATTTGAAGCAACTAGAATGTCATCGACATGAACAATCATATAGCAAGTATCAACTCCTCTCTTCATGCTGTTCAAGCATTTATCAACTTCGCTTTGCTTAAATCCAAAACTAATCACTGCTTCATGATAAATTTTATTCCATGCTCTTCAAACCATAAAGGCTTTTTCTTAACTTGCAAGCATCATTTCCCTTCTCAAATCCAGGTGGTTGCTTTATATATATCTCCTCGATGATATCACCATTCAAAAATGCAGTCTTAATATCAAACTGCTTCACATGATAATTATTAACACCGGCTATCGACATAAGAATCCTAAATGTTGCTGATCGAGCTACTGGTGCAAACACTTCATCATAATCTTCACCATACTTCTGAGAAAATCCTTGAGCAACCAATCTTGCTTTATATGAACACACCTGACCATTATCATCTCGCTTAAGCTTGTAAACCCATTTACAACCTATTGCACGTTTATTCTTTGGCAATTTCACAAGATCTCAGGTTTTATTTTGATTAATGGACTTAATCTCGTCTTCCATAGCTTTTTTCCATTTATCAGCATCAACACAACTCATAGCCTGTTTGAGTGTCTTAGGCTCAAAATCAACTCTTGATGAATAAGTAACAAAATCACCAAGACGGTCTGGTCTTTGTCCTTTATTTCTTCTACTTGATACTCTGATTTCATCACTTTTTCCATTCTCCTCCTGAACCGAAACGTTCTGATCATTCATTAAATTATGATCAACGACGATTTCCTGACTTTGGTCATTCTCAAATTCTCCATGTTCAAAATGTTCTTGATCTGTCTCTTCTTCATGCTCTTCTACCTCATTTTCATCTTGAGAGTCTTCAGCATCATAAAACAATTCAGAATCATTGAATGTTTGAACATCAATTGTAGAACCAGACGAAAACGGGAACGGCACCAAATCACCGCTAGTTCTCTTCATTTCATGAGATGGATTCTGACTTATCTTCATGAACTTTTCTTTTAGAAACACAACATCACGTGACACAACTATCTTCCGTTGTTTCACATTTGCAAGTCGATATGCTTTCGACCATCCGTCATATCCCACGAATGCCAGCTTTTCAGCCTTCGGATCTAACTTCTTTCGCTTCTGATGAGAAATTATCACATAAGCGCCATCACCAAATTCTTTGAAATTTGAGAAATCTGGCTTCTTGTCCAAAAACTTCTCATATGGGGACTTTGGATCTTCTTTGCTCAAAACACGATTCAATGAGTAATTCGCATTCATTATAGCTTCATCCCAGTACTCTCGTGACATCCCTGACTCAGTAAGCATCGTCCTACATGCCTCAACTAAAGTCCTATTCTTTCTCTCGGAAATACCGTTTTGTTTTGGTGAGTAAGCCACAGTACATTGAAATCGAATTCCCTCTAAACGTAAATACTTCTGAACTTCCTCACTTAAATATTCTGTCCCTCGATCCGTACGGAACATTTTAACTTTTCGACCGAACGTGTTTTTCTACAGTTCGAAATACTCTATGACTTTAGACTGTACTTCGCTCTTTGCCTTCAAAAGATATACTGCCGCACATTTCGAATAAACATCCGTGAATGTTGCAAAATATCGAAATCCTCCAACTGAGGTAGTTGGCATAGGGCCACAAATATCACTGACTATGCAATCAAGTGTATTTTCAACAGGTGTTGCCTTCTTTGGAAATGGATTTCTTGAAATTTTTTCTACAATGCATGATTCACACACATTGGAGCAATCACAATCGACAATTTTCAAACCTTTATCTTTCATCGCGAGTATATGATGCAAATTTCTGTGAGCTAATTTTCGATGCCATTCATGTACACAGCATCTATCCACTCTGTCATTAACCAAGCATGATCTTTCAACTTCAGCTCTTACAACATACATATCGCCTGATTTCTCAGCAATCTGCAATTGTTCCACACCTTCTACTTTAAGGTAACAGCCAGTTGAATCAAAAATAGTGAATGAGACAGAGATCAAAATACTGTCAATGCATGGCACCAGAAGAACGTCAGTCAGATCTACACTAAAGCTTTTGTTTCCTACAAATACATTCATACGAACATCCTCTCGTCCTATGTACTCAACCTACTCGCCATTAGCAACGGTAACCGTACCCCTAAAACTTTCATCATAACTAAGGAAAAACGACTTACTGTAGGTCATGTGAGACGAAGCACCAGAGTCAATACAACACTGAGAGTCTTTAGGATCGTAACAATTTCTGCGCCCTCCACTGAAATTTTCGATTTTGACGGTTTCATTCTTCAACATTGGACAATTCCGCTTGATATGTCCTTCTCGTTTGCACTGATGACACTTGATGTGCTTCTTTGGATCAATTTCAGTTTTATTGATACAAAACACATCAGATCCTTTTCTTACATTTTCATGCCGCCTTTCCCATTCATCGATGAGTTTCAGCTTGACATTTTGAACAGTTAGATCCTTCTCCTTCCATGATTCCAATCCAGTCACCGAATTATCATATTCAGCATGCAGATTTGATAAAATAGCACTCACAATCATGGTTTCTTCAAGATGGTCAAATTCCTTGATGTTTTGCAAA